AATCACTGGTTCATTAGAATCATCCGTGGTGGTTTTTATAAATATCTAGGCTTAGACTTCACCTCAGAATTACTGAGCAGACGTCCTGGGATGCAGACCAGGCCTCTGTACTTTGAAAGAAAAAGGCCTCCCCGGTAGGTTGAGACTTTGATCTACAGCTATGTGAGGCTTTCCTCTCACCCGTTCTAAGGATCACTGAAGATTCACTCTGTGTCAGGCATTCTGCTAAGCCCTTGACAAATACTTTTTCACTTAGTGCTTACAATAACCCTAAAAGGTGGCTCTTATTCATATAGTACTCATTTTACCAATGAGAAATCTGAGGCTTGGAGAGGTTGGGGGAATGTGCCTAAAGTCATATACCAAGGCTATGGGAGAGGCAGAACCAAAATCCACGTCTGCTTGAATACTATGAACCGCTACAACCCTGAGAAGGACTTTTAACTATACAGATTGAAAATGCATGGCTGTATTTTATAGCTGTAATTTCCAACCTAGAAGCTCCCATTTTGCTGCTTTGATTATCCTAAGATTATCCAGAGTGTACAGGGATTGTTTCATTTTATGGCCTTAAAAGAGAGCTACTATATTCATGCGAGAGGAGACATGGTCTAATAGGTAAAAGATTCTTTAAAATTATAGGTGAACTGTTTTGCTTTCTTTGTATAAAAGTCACAGACGATTGTCTACTTTAGGTCTTTTTTTTTTTTAAGGTTTTATTTATTAATTTATTTGACAGAGAGGGAAAACAAGCAGGGGGAGTGGGAGAGGGAGAAGCAAGCTTCCTGCCGAGCAGGGAGCCTGATGCGGGGCTCGATGCCAGGACCCTGGGACCATGACCCGAGCCGAAGGCAGACGCTTAACGACTGAGCCACCCAGGCGCCCCTACTTTAGGTCTTAATTCAGAAACTCAGGAGCTGCTGTAAACTACCTTTTAATTTCATGGCTAAAAAATATTCAGAAATGACACAATGTTAGAAGAGCATACTTTTTCCTTCCAGGTTAATTTCTTATTAAAAAATATTAAAAATTATATAAAACCATTGCTGAGAAATGCGGTTTCCAGTGTGGAATATGCAATTTTAGGATTTGTTCTTTCTGATTTGGGACTGACACCATTATTTAGAATAGTGATGACTCATGTCTAGGACTGAAATCTGTTTTTCATGGGTTTATACATTTTCCCCTTGAATTGCACCAAAAATGGTTTTTTAATTGGCTTTAACTCATGCCCAATAAATTGGATGAAAATTGATTGCCGCAGTCATGTTTGGTTTAAAATTATTCAAGACTGCGCCATGAGTCAAATGAGTGCATGATCGAGGGCAGCAGTGCTTTATGTCCTCTGTTTATGACAAATAATGCTTTTTCAAAATGGTCATAATTCATATCTAAAAGTTAATATATGTTCACAACTTATAAAGCTTAAAAGATAGTAGCAGAGCCACATTAAAAAAGAAATTTCTCTTATTTTCATATTATTTCTTAATATATTCTTTTTCTAGTTCTCCCAAGACTACGGGTTTGGTCATTATATTCCTTTAAAATTAAATAATTCTGCATGTAGTTCTTGATAGATTCTTGGTCATGATATTAGAATATTTTTCAATGCAAAATTAAATAAATGAGAATGTTCAGACTGTACCATCCTATAGAGTTGAGACTGGGAGCCAGTTTCCCATTCTCTGCAGAGTGATTTTAAAGACAAATATTAAGCAATATGAAAATTGAATTAACTCAGGTGACTGTTTAGGGCATTGAAATAGCAATTCACTAAATGGTACCTGTCAGGAAGCCAGTTTTTGTTCAATCTCATTATAATTATTTACTGTGTTATGGTTTTCATTTATTTATATGCCATAGAAATATAAGCAAATCACTTTAAGGTCTTTGCTAGTTGGGAATAAAGGTGCATTTTATGAGATTCTCTAGCAACTGCAAGAAAGGGTATAATAGGGTAAAAGAAACGATTAATTAAGTGAAAAGAACATCGCTTGGCCATAATATAGATAGGCATTAAGTGAAGGAAATAGTTGATGTTGTTGAGTATAGTGAGTATTAGGCAATTCTAAATGGGCAGGATAGTTATTATCTTATATTCTTCTAAGAAACTGGTGGAGCAATTTCTGAAAATTTTGTCAATTTGCTCTATTATAAATGTATTTTTCATATGTATTAAATCTCAAGATTTGTTTTTGTAAGTCAATATTATTTTGTTTATAAACTCCAGGGCTGTTCATCTGTCCTCTCTATGAATCTAAGTTGTCTTTTAAGCAGTCCCTGGTCCTCACCATGCAGTATCGATCACCAGCTTCCACTTGCTGACTACAGGGCTGAAGCTTGAGCTCTTCAGCCATAGTTTTTGTGTGTTTTTTTGACCCGAAACACAAAACTACCTGTTTTTTCGGATTTATAAAAAAGAATGCATGCTCAGAATTTTTACAAACCCAATAATGCAGAAAACAAAGAAAAAAGGACCTAAAGGTCCAATTCCTATTACTCAAAATAGCTACTGTTTAATGTTCTAATGACTATTCTTTATGCAATGTTGAATACTCTCAACAATATTTTATGGAAATCACTAAATTACAAACATATACTCTCCTTTTCAGTGGCTTATAACTGTTTACTATGGTTATAGAGTAAACTTCTAAAAATTAAAATCTACAAAAACTAAATAATGAAAATTTCCTCAAAACCTAATATGACTGGTGGATTGGACCTCCTAGGACATCATATATTATGTTTCTCAAAATCCTGTTGATTTGACCTGAATCATTTTATTTTATTTTTTAAATTTTGTTTATTTATTTGACAGAATGAGAGAGCAGGAGAG